AATATACAGCAGGACACATGCACGCACAGTTAAACACACTCACACACAACCAGCCAAATGCTTGTCTCCTGTGCTTCTTTCCCTGGGTGCTGTCCAACCAGGGCTCAGCAGGGGCAACTTGGCCTTCACAGAAGGAGAAAGTAGAAATATTTGATGTCTCAATTAAGTTTCTTTGCCAGGAAGGATGTGTAGTTGTGATGATGATGTTCCAGGTGGTGACAGGGTGGGAAGGCTAATGTTTATCTTCAATAAAACATTTTTTCTACCCTTAAGTGGGTTTATTTTGTTTGTAGTTCTTATTGTGAACATTACAGTGCCAGTGAACTATGGATTAATATTTTTCAGGGCTTCTCTACATACTTGAACTAAGTGGCCTGTATAAAGAAAATGGAAGAATGTATCGTCATGATAGGAGCATTTCATTAAATCCCACTTGTTTAGTGCCCTTGTTCACATTATTGTTTTCAAGCCCCTAGCAAATCACACTGACTCTTCATCACAGAGTGCAGCCTCCTTACAATAAGCCATCCTTTTTTTTGTCTGTTTTCTCAATAGAAGGTGCCAGGAAAATGTTCATATCCTTGAGCTGCTCAAGAGTGATACACAAAAGCCATTGTGACCACTCAGAGGATATTGGGGGGGGGGGGGTAAATGAAACACATAATACACATTCTCAAGGGCTGTGAAACGTAATCTTTCCTGAGATTTCACAGGAGCCGTGATTTAGAGAAGATGATTTCCGACAAAGACACACCCATAAACAAGAGCAGAGAGAAATGATACAGCATATCTCATTGTGATTAGTAAACAAAACTAGCTCTATGTGGTAAGTAACTTATTTAATCACCTACAAGGACAGTAAAAGAGTTGCATTAAAAAAATCCATCCATAAGGTGTGCAAGCTGTCCCAGCATATTCACAGTGACACACAAACACCTTCAGACCTTAATCATATGGCAGTATGCGGGTGCACATCCCTGGCTGACAGTGTGTATAAACTCAGGCAGAGATATGATCTAGTGAGGAGCTGCTCTTATTAAATATTAACAAACGCCATTCCCAAGTAGCCTCAATCCCCACAAGCATCTCCAATGCCAGTCAGTACCTAAGCATAACTATCTTGCGTCGCTACAGAACCTCTCTCCCTGCTGAATAGGCTGCGGTGCTGTCTCTAAGCAAAGAGTTCAAAGAGTCTGAAAAGGGCGAGGAGGAAGGTGCAGTGGTGGCGAATGTGCTTGCAATACAAGTCCTAACTAAATCCTTTTTTTATCTGTATGACATCGTCATATGGGGAAATTAGTGAAGCTGGAATTTAAATAAGAGCTATCGAAATAGTGTTGCAAAGTGTCTGAGCAGAAATCCTCAACCTCGACTTCACCCCTGTGGCCGATTGTTGGGGAATAAATTGTAAGTGTGTGCACAGAGGAAGTCGGAATGAAGGTTTTTGATGTCCTACAAAAAGAGGGACCTACTGTGCATACAAATGCAAATTACTGATGTCATATGGAAATTTAATGATGCATTTTTAAAAGGAACATATTAAAGGACTCTTGATCTCAGTTTTCTGTATAAGCCTGCAATTAGTGCACACACAAATATACACACACAAGATAAACTTTAAGACATAAACACATAGCACATGCTCACACCACGTACAGCCACACAGTTCAGCATCAAAATGACGAATAATGGTAAAGCACTTATCAATGTCCAATGCAAATGCTTTTGGCTGTATTAGTCTTTACAATTTACTTGTCTACGATCATTCCAACTATTCTTTTTAACTGGTCACTAATATTTGTGTTATCAGATGCAACTCCATATATAGCAAAAAAGTTAAATAGCATAAAATAAAAGAAGTTTGCTTGAAAATGCAATGTTCATAATTAATAAAGAAATGGATTCACTCTGGTAAAGTCTGAATGCACAAAACCTTAATAAACTGGGTGATTTGTCAGCATATAATTTGCAGAAAAAGTACATGTGGATCCGATCCTCTACAAAATGTAAAAGCATTGAAAGGTCTGAGGGAAAAAGAAGAATCTAAGGAAGAAGGTTAGGCCATGAACTCTTCTGCAAACCCTTGAGTAAAACCAGTTGGTTGCGGCATCAATAAATGCAAATACAAAGTTAATCCACAAACACAGGAGCAGAAATGTTAGAAAGAAGAGAGTGATGATGTGACTTATGTGCACACATTAAAAGAAAATCAACAATCCAGTACCGTGTGGAGTTGTGCATTGTGACACAACATTGGGGGCATCAATGCCGATGAACAACAAATCCTTGTAATGAATCATTAAATACTGCTATTCAGACACTATTTTTTAGAAGAGCCATTGCTTAATTTAGAAACACATTACTAAAAAAAAGCATGCCATCATAAAAAGCCAAAGCAACTGTCATCACCCACATTCTTACAGAGTAAAAAGAAAAGGTGATGCGGTGAATGCCCTTCTCCAACCAGTACACTTTTAACATTTGATGTTATTTTTGTATATTTTCATGAAAAATACAATGTTTCAATTATTCAAATGCAATTCAGATTTTATTTGTATCATTTCATATTTATACTTTCAAAAAATGGCACAAAAAGACTAAATAGTTTTGGAAACGTATTGCAAAAAGGACTTTAGAGAATTTCTGTTGGCCTTTAGGACAAGAAAACTTGAATCCCTCCCCCTTACTCCTTCCCACACCACCCTCAAACTCAGTGAGGTGTGCTGGTAAAGTCTAAAGCTTGTTTTGTTCCAGACCAACTCTCAGACAACTCCTGGTCTCTCTCTGTTCACCCCAGTGCACTTGGAAAAGAACAGAGAAATGGGGAAAAAAAGGGAACAAATGTGGAAATGGAGGTGATGGAGTAAAGGAGGAGGGTGAAAAAGTAATGAGGATGACGTGGGAGTGGGGGTGGGGGGGTTCCACATCTGTCTAGGTACAAAGTCAGGACCTGCCTTTGAGTCAGTGGGGTTAAAAGAGGAGGCAGATCTTGCTGTGAAAGCTGTTAAATGGTTCAGTGGTTTGACAGTGGCTGATGCTACAGACAGCGCATCTCCCCTGGGAGCATGCAGAGTCTCCCCGGCATGATTCTTATCAAAATATACCTACCGCCTGCCTTTACTTCAGAAATAAACAATAACACAGCAGGAGAGGAAGGGAGCGATCTAAGGAACCACTGGAGGCTTACGAAAAGAGAATCACTTTTTTTTGCCACTGTCATAATTGTCTTGACAATTATGTGCGTCGCATACAGTGTACAGACAGTAGAGTGTGAAAGCAGATTATGCATTAATGTTCCAGCTCTGGCTCTTTTGGAGCTACGGGCATTTGGAGTGAGCATGTGGGTTCTTAAGGGTTTTTATTTATTTTTATTTATTTTATTTTGGAGGAGACTTAAAACATGAAAAGTAGAAAAATGTAATCCCAGTTGTAGCTGTGTTGCAGCTGATAGTCAAACACACACACACACACACACACACACACACACACACACACACACACACACNACACACACACACACACACACACACACACACGCACGCACGCACGCACGCACGCACGCACGCACGCACGCACGCACGCACGCACACACACACACACACACAAACACAAACACATAAGTAAAAGCAACACAGGCAAAACTGCTCCATTTTACCATCATTACACAGCACGGGTCCCTTGCTCCCTTTGGAGCCGTGTTCTGCCTCCGGTGCTACATTTGACGGTTTGTTGAGCGGCACGTAGGTGTGTAGCCTCAGTCGCGTTACGTGATCAAACAACCCAACTGACGCATGGCCAATTATCCTGGCTGCCTCCTCTCATCTCACGTTTAAGGAGAGGGGAAGTAAAAACCAGAGAGGGAAATAAATAGGAAGAAAAAGGGGAGAGATGGAGGGGGGAGGGGGGTTAGAAAGAAGCAAGGCTGGTGGTGCATTTATCGAAGAATGGCAGATGAGAAAGCACCCCTCTCCTTGTTCCGTGGGGAAGCTGGCATGTGTACCATTTTTGAAAAAGTAAACAATGGCTCACACACTTTTTATTCTTATTTTGTTTTTGTTGTTGTTATTGTTTTTACTCTCAGCGAGTTGTAAATAGGCCAATATGAAGCAAACAAAAACAATGTGAGCAAATCAAGCATGAGAAGTGACATAGAGTGTAAGGGTCTGCTAGTGTGAGAGTACAACATAACCACATGTTCCATCTCAGAGGCGCACTCTGCATTAGAGAGAGAAAATAATATTAAAAGTATCACTTTTGTTTTCACAGAAACCATGCCACAGTGAAACAAGGTCGACACATTGCTGAACCTTGCTCTTATTCATTAAACAGCACTTTCTCGATCTCAGTTATATACCAAACAATACCAAACTTTGTGCGAGGTAAAGATAAATCAATTTACCCTCTTCGGTGTAAGGTCATGAGGTTGAATTAAAATGCTTCTGTTACATTTATTTGCTGCATTTTTTTATTGTTTGAATTCTTACACAGAGGACTCCTAAACTACAAGTACTGGAACAAAATCCACCGATGAAAAAAGATGAACAAGGTGAATTAACTCTTACTTAAACACATAATGGCCAGACCTTGGACCTCACAGCTTAGTTTAGTCACAGATGCAATTTGTGTCAAGTACGGTCGAGTAGTTTAAAAACACGTCTTGGCCGTGGAAATACAGCTCTCTGATTTTATTTTTATTTGTATTTTTATGGGGTTTTTTGTCTTTTTTTTAATAAAGAAAAGCATGGCAAGCAGGAAAGTGGGCAGTAAAGAATGCATGTACAATGAGAACAGGGGTTGTTTACATAGATCTTAACTTAGATCTCAGCAGTAGAGAACAAAATTAATGAAAAAATTGCTTTTATTGGGTATCAATAAAAGCCAAGAGGATAAGTCAAGAGTAGAGAAGTGAAAAGAAGAAATGACGATGTGAACAGGGGACTTGAAATAAATTGTGCAAGAAAAGAGAATGCACTTCATCAGACTTTTAAACAATGACTCACCTACAGATGCTCGAGATCTGGCTGAATATTTTTTGATCTTGCCGCAAACAGTGTTGTCCCGCTTCGCTGTTTCAAACTCTCTCTCCATCTGCAATGCCAGTTCTTGGGCCATGGTACCAAAGTAAGCCACATTCAGAAAACCTAGGAGTGTGTGTGGCTCTGTTAAACTTGAAAGGACCTGAAGGTCTTCTCGGAGGGCTTGGGTCAGATGTGGGACCGCGGTGCAGAAACCTGCCGCCACTCTGTCAAAGCCAGTCTCACCGCCTGGGCTGGAGGACAAGCATGAGTGGAGAACACTCACCACGTACTTGCATTTTAAGGCCTGGAAATACAAACAGAAGTAAAATAGATTTCACTGTAAAATCAATAGCATGCAATATATGCTCATTTACTGTAGCATAGTAATTTAAGAATTTAGGAAATACCAACACCCGTCCATGAGTTCACTGATTTCTATTTTCAAATATTTACTTCACTGTGCTAGAATTATTATAATTTTTATTATTTTTTGATTAAAATTAATTTATTTAAAGCTTTCCACTGTGCTACAAAACTTACAGGCATACATGTTTATAGTACATAATTTACAAATAATAAAGAAAATTTTAAAGAAATGGTACTTTATTTATTTATTTATTTATTTATTTATTTATTTATTTTGTTGCATTAATGTTGCTATACCTGGTAATCTGTGAGAACGTCACACTCAGGATAAAGAAAAGACAACTGTTGAAGACAGTGGACCCGTTCCGGAATAGCTAGAGTGGAAATTTGTTGGGCTCCGGACTGTTCTGGGCTGTGGAGTGACAGCCGGCCCTTCAGGTAGCGCCGCAGCTGGAGACACACAACGTCCCATACCTCCTGAATCTTTGGGGAATAATTAAATGTGAAAGTGTATACATGCCATGATTTTAGGTATATGTACAAGCACACACAGGAAGCTAATTAAATCCTCATTTCAGTGCATTTAGCAGCTACGTTACAAATTATATCAGTCAAACTAACAAGGCAACACTGAGCTAAATCCAATATAGCAAATTACCTCTAAGGAGGAGTCATCTCTGACTGTATGTAACATGTGGACAGAGGAGCTGGATGTTTGAGGATGAAGAGAGGAAGCTGAAGAGGATGTACAGGGAAAGCAGAGGCCACACTGGGCGGACAGGTTCATCAGTAGCTCAAGTGTCACCTCTTCTTTTGCCTCTTCATCTGACCGAAGGTACTGATGCTAAAGAAACAACAGAGAAAAATATCAGAGTAACTAAAGAAAGTTGAAAATTACTACAACATATGATACATTTCGTAATTCAGTACTGCATTGCCGGTTGATAAGAAGACATTTTGAGAGCACCACAGCTCACATATTTAGTTCTAAAACATAACAAATGGTTATTTTACCTCAAATATAAAACACTTGTTTTAAAAGTTTGTCGATATATTTTGGGGCTCGCTCACATTGTACTGAAAAAAGCACTTTTGCTGTCAAAAGGCCCATTGTTGTGCTGCCCAAGAATGTGCCTGCTTTTAATTGGCTTAAGGTGTGATCCGTACCACTTACTTAAAAACAGCAAAAGAAAATGTCCCAGTTCATTGGCTAAGCACAAATGTCTGTAATAAAATATTTAGCAACATTTAAAAACTTTAAAAGTATCACAAATGTGTCAACATCCTGACAATTTACCAGAGCTCTGAAGAAGTTTAAAAGGTCCTGGTGTCCGGTGGTCACAGGTTTCTTATTGTTCTGTGCTCTGATGTTCAACCACCGTACAACCTCTGTGGGACTTGGAGGACGATATTCTGTTCTAGACTCCCCCGATTTGAACTGGAGATCCTTCAGCTGTTGTTCAATACTGTGAAAAGGAGAAACACTGGTAAAGACAAAAAGAGTTCAACTTTAAACAAAATGAAAGTTACTTGAAAGATGATGCATGATATATTGTGTCTATTGCTTTTGACTTTGACTATATTCAGCATGTGTTTTATTTTGAAAACAGAAAAGTACGACATTTGGAAAAAGAATTAATAAAAAAAACCTTTGTGGCTCACACCAATTGCCTGGATGAAACTAACTACTGGCTACCGTCTCTCCTGTTTCTCACTGTCAATATTTGGTGAGACAGTGTCCTCGGTGTGGAGTCCAACTCAATCAATCAAACATGCCAGAGCAAAGACAAGATACGGCATTATACAAACATGTAGACACTATGTTGAAGATCCACACACATCATATTATCACAGTCAGCTCTGCCTCCCACTCACTCAGCGACTGTACTCCGAGAAGACAGATATAGAAGCATCAACAGTAATGAACACAGACACCGATATATCAGTGTGAGAGTGTGCACTAAGCATCTGGTATGAAGTGGCATTACAGGCATCGGCAGGCATCTGAGATACACACTTTTTGCTATCTCATGTCTTACTCGTTCCCCTGACACACACACACACACACACATACACAAACGCCATTCTTTTGATGTTAACAGACGGCATCAGCTCTTCAGCTTCCTCTTTAATATGACAGATTAGAAATGACATCTTTGGGCTCGACATGTTTAGTCATTTCCATGCAAATCAATGCATATATATTTGGATGGAGGAAGGTGTCTGAGAGTGTGTGTGATCGTGTGAGAGTGTGCGTAAGTCAGCATACCTACATAATTAAACTATGGTTTAGGCTGCTGTTGTGTTCACGTGTGGCTGTGCATTGGCTGATGCAGATGTGCACAAGGCTCCACAAATGAATGTATATAGAAAAACATGACACTGGATATGAGATGATTAATTACGTGACCCATTGCTTAATGAACATGAATCAATGGAGAAATAAAATTAGGGAAATCCATAAAAGATGGCTTTTGTTTCTTTTTTATTATATATTTTTCTTGAAGGTTGAATTTAATTGCATCTGTGAAACCACGAGAACTTGTCACAACATCTTTTAGACTTAATTACTAATCAGTGAGTTAAACAAATAATCAATAGAAAATCGCAACATGAATTAGCTGCATACCAACTCCCAAATGTGTAAAAATTTCTGTGTTAGTATATACAATGCAAAGCCAAAATGCCTGTCTGTTAGCTCATCCCCATCCCGCAGGTCTATAAACTGCCTCCTGCTTGCTCCTGAGCCATGAACACATCCAGATGTCTTGCAATGGCATCGCATTAAACAACCGTTCAAGCTGACACACTTCCATTTCAGAGGGGAAAAACGCAAGGGGATAAAATGTTATAGACTGTTACAAGTTGCTATCCTCTAGACTGAACACTGTCTAATGTTATTGCTCTGCCTCACGTTAACTACTTTCCCGTCACTCTTCTCTTCTTCTTCAGGCGGACCAGATGATGCATCGCACTTTACTCTCTTGTCACCGCTGTGCCGACTGACAGAAAGCCTGATTAGACAAAGGCGGTCTTTTTGTGTGTTTTGAGTGATCTGATGTGAGGTAATTTTTTTTGCAAGACAAATGCAGAGCAATCAAACATTCCCAGTGAAGTAGGTTTTTACTATGTGTTTTAACCCTTCCCTGTGTGTGTGTGTGTGTGTGTGTGTGTGTGTGTGTGTGTGTGTGTGTGTGTG